CTGGGTAAGTTTGTCATCAGAGTAGGATCTAAATTACTTTCTCAGAAAATTACTACATGCGTACCTTGTGGACATCCTGTGTGGCCATTGGAAATATTTTACCTGCGTAAAAGAGAATATATTAATGTAAAGCATAATTTGGTATATCCATAAAATACGTTTTGTCTGACTTCCATTACAATTACATTTTTTCAGTTAATTCATATTTCATTTATGGTTTAAATGATGGGGAATCCGTAGATAAATCATCATATATCTTAATATATATTACAAATAGATGCCAATAAAGCTACATTCTTTACCTTGACGCACCTTAGGCAATTAGATATGCTTCTTCAATCATCATAATGTACATAACACACTCAGATTTACTGTAAAATACAACAAAATTATGATATCAGACAATACATAAATAATTTAGTTTTGCTAATAATAACTAAAATCAGCTGTTTAATATTTTGCGTTGGATTGGAACAGTTCTCTTCATGGTAGATCGAAGCGAGCTGGGTAAGTTTGTCATCAGAGTAGGATCTAAATTACTTTCTCAGAAAATTACTAAATGCGTACCTTGTGGACATCCTGTGTGGCCATTGGAAAAAATTTACCTGCGTAAAAGAGAATATTTTAATGTAAAGCATAATTTGGTATATTAATAAAATTGATTTTCACTTTGGTGTAGATAAATCATTATATATTACAATGTATAGTAGCTTATATATATTTTATCGAAATTTATACGAACCTTGATTTTGAGTATACAATAGAACACTAGGCCTTTCACGTATTAGAGTCGATAAGCTGAAGACTGGAAATTCGGAAACAAATATTAATTTCGAGCTGAATAAAATATATAAAAGTTTAGTTTGAAAAAATATTCAGTTGCGAAGGTGTAGTGTCTCATCAAATTTCTTCAAGAGTAGCAAATAATGAAAGCATCATCAGGAGAGGTAAATTATTATTTATAAAGAATTTATTTCACTCACCATGGTAAATAGTTGGTAAATTCTTGATTCCATATCTGAAATGGAAAACGGTAATGATGAAATAGTCGTAGATTTTTGTTTTGTTTTTTGAAACAACAAAATCTCAGTTACAATGGTGAAACTTTTCATCAATCAACGTAGTTCAAGAGTAGCAAATAAACTATATCATCAGTATATACATATATCTTATGTATATAAACATATATATGATTTTATGTTAACTTACCATGTTCAACTTCAATTCGAGCTTCTGTATTGCCCTGAAAATACATAATATAGTTAATACTTTATAGTGAATATGCAGTTTATAATATTCGACTGTATTCAGTTGCTTAGCGAGTTTCCATCAAAACTTAATCAGAGACGAAAAATAACATACATCATTTAATGGGACGAATTTATTTAAAAGCATAATAGAATATATTACTCACCATTTTAGAGCTGTAGAGGTTTAGCTAGTATAGTTCCTGGAAAGAAAGAGAGCCCCTATTCCCTACAAATCCACACCCCCACCCCCGTCCCCAGCGACCGAGATGAGGTAGCCGCGTGCAAAGTAGCAAGAGTAGAAGAACTTGACTTTTTTTTTCAAATATTTATTTGTTGTTTATGTTGTAAGACATTCCCGAGTTGAAGTTATTCACTTACAGAAGGCGTCCACTCACTAACTCGAAAATCGAATAATTTAAACAGCCTCCTGTACGGGAGGTTCATAGCCTTCGGGGCGGTCAATAACAGCGCCCTCAGCGGAAACAACAGCTTCGGTTGTCTTACCACCACCATCGCCATGGAGCTCCAGAAGTTTGGAGATATCGAAGCGAGGTTTCTTGAGTACCTTCACCTTGCGAATGTAGACATCATGCAATGGATAGATGCGTTGGCAGCTCTTCTCAATATCCTTAGCAATCGAGTCTAAGGCCAGTTTGTTCACCAGCTGTTTCAGATCGGCGCCGCTCACCTCGTTGGTAATAATGTCGGTCATGCGGGCCCGAATCTTACGCACCTGCGACTGCTGGGCATAGCAGGTCTTTCGCTGCGACTGCTGATCCTTGAATGTAAATCCAATGCAGAACACACGAAGCAAGTATCCGTCTACGGTCTTTGCCTCCACAATGGCCTCGATGAGAGTCTGCCATTTCTTCACCATTGATCTAAGTTGTTTTCAGTGAAACATTTGTATATATTGATATATATATATACATATGTATATATTTATATAAATATATACATATGTACGTATTCATCAGTTATACCTGTACTTGTCTGTAGTCAAGTCCATGCCATGGAAATTGCAGAGCACGTTGCGATCCTGCACATCTTCGGCGATCAGACGAAATTTACGGAATGAGCGCTCGGGGTCAATGTCTTTTTGCAAGTCTGCAAGCGAAACTTCAAACACACGCCCTTTAAGGTAGTCAGAGGCAATGCGTTGGCCCTGCGTGCGGTTCACGAGGGTTTTGCCAATCTGCCTGGTTTGAAACATGTTTGGCGCTTTGACATCGTACCAATCTTTGCGCGAAAATGGATCGACTACCTTCTTTTTACCACCTTTCTTGCCGCCTTTCGAGAGACCCTTGTTTTTGCCGACCGCCATGGTAAACGTCTAAACCGGAAAAGGTCGAGCCACGTTGAGTAAACTGTCAAAAAGGGAAATCGAAAACAGTGTTGTTAAACGCAATGCACACAAATGCTTCAGAGTTGCCTTGCACTAACCGATAAACGATTATTTTTTGGATAGCTAACTGAAATCACTAACCATAGTTAGTGCCAGAGTTGTTAGTGGTTAGTACTAAAATGAACTACAAACAGTATTTTCTTTGTATAGTTTTGCCTACTCAATATTGGCAATGGGTATTAAATTAATCGTAGTATACCTTAAAATATATAGTTATACAATAATATATAATAAAGGGGTGAGAAAATGAAACGGTTGTTGATATCCAACGAATATCAAATATAGTTATGCACATATATACTATGTTGATAATAACAAATATTTAATAAATAGGCCAAATTATAAAAGCATAGTTTTTTATTTATCATTATTTTTAGTTAATACATGATATTTTTAAACTAGCTTATCGAATATCTACAATCGGTAAATTTTTTTTTCCGATTCATTTTATTTTGGTATACACACGGCGTATAGATGGCTTGTTTTTATCGAAATTTAGTGTTTATCAATTTGTATAGATTGGGCACACATTCTTTGTTATTCATTGCATCCATTTTTGTTCTGCTTAGTTCCTTTTTAAATTAATTTTATGAAATTGGATTGTGTTATAAACAGACTTGTACAATTCTTTGATTATATTCAGTAATAGCTTAAAATATATTTTTTGAGTGGAAATCTGTAACGACACTAGTAAAAAAATTATAGATACGGCTTTGCGACATTGGGCTTGATTCGTTCAGTTCGATGCCTTCATTTAGAACTCACGCTTAACTCTTGATCTCAAAAAAAAAAAAAAAAAAAAAAAAAAAAAAATAAAAAAAAAAAAAAAAAAAAAAA